GCCAAAAGATTGTCATAATAAATATACAAATTGCCCAACTCTAGGCTCAGCAGATTATAATAAAAGTACAAAAATGTTTCACAATAACAAAAATGCCAGTATGCTACCTGGATGTGGACACCTAGTATATTGTACAATTCAAACTGTGTGAGGACACCTTTAATTTAGCCATATGTTTATCAAAGAGCTTCTGTAAGTTAGATTTTGTATGTTGCAGGAGACAAAGATGGAATAGATGTAGTTTTGATCTTTAAGGTGCTCATAATAGAATAGAGCTGTCTCTATTTCATTTCTGTGCTTTTTCAACAGAATTTACAAAGAAAACATTTGTATTTCTGTTTTCACCTGTCTACTTAACAAATAACTGTCAGATGTCTTTTAGATACGAAGCATTTTTCTAATGCTACAGAACACATTTAAAAATACAGACAGGAGCTTGTTATTATCATTGTCATTTTTATTATTTTGCTACTTTATTCAGTCCTTACTGTGTGCTAGATGGCCACTGGAAGTTTATATTTATGGTTTATATATTATATTGATTATGTGCCAGACATATGTGATGAGGAATGAAAGCTTTAAAAAAAAGTAGGTAGGATTTAAGGTGAGCATGCAGAGTGAGTAGAATTTTTCTAGGTAAAGTAGCAGAAGAATGATGTTTGGCAGAATGAACATGTAACGAAATGGTGTGTTTGGCAGAAGGAACATCTAACGAGATTACCTGTATGGGAGGAAGAGCAGCAAGTGCAAAAGCAAGATGCTTGAGTGAACTTTGCAGAGTTTATGAGCAGTTCACTTTTGCTAGTACAAAAAGTGTGAGATACAAGAGGTTGGGAATGAGGTGAATACTAAGCTAAGGCAAGTTTATGATAGAATTTTTAATACTATAGAAATTAGTAGCTCTTATCCCATGGGCCATGGGAAATTTACCAGGTAGAATGTTTTGGACTGCAAATACTAGATGAGGAGTGGCTAAAACTGTAGGAACCAGAGTTGTTTTGGTTGTTCAGTGATATCCTAGAATCCCACTTGTCCCTCTTTCAGCTGTGCTGTTGGCAGTGTCTTGTTCATGTCTCCTTTCACAGTTGACTAATCTGCATCAGCTCCAGGCATCTTATTCTCAGAACACAACGTTGCAAGGGCTGCTTTTCTTCATGTGTTTCTTTAAATAGGGAGAAAACTTAGAAGCATGCAGTGGACTTTCTGTAACATTTCATTGGCTGGGTCACACCACATGCCCATCCCCAAACCGGGCACTGGGAAAGCAAATGTAATTTTGTGACTAGCTTAGAATAATCATTTCTCCTTCTGAAGCTGGGGAGGAATATTGGGATAGTAAGTATCCCAATAGCTTTGTGTTTCTTCTGCAAGAAAGAATTAGGAATGGCTATTGGTAGGGAGCCAGCAATGGTTGTTGCAGGGACTCATTGGAGAAATTTGAGCAGGGGAGTCAGAAGATTAAATTGGAGTGTTAAGGCATTCTGGCTATGGTGTAAAACAGGGGTTGTCAAGCTTTTTCTGTAAAGGACTAGGTGGGAAATATTTTAGACTATGTGATCTCTGTCATACCTACTTAACCCTGCTGTTGTAGTGTGAAAGCAACTATGGATAATATGTAAGCAAATAGGCATGACTGAGATCCAATAAAACTTTATTTATAAAACCATAAGGCAGACTGGATTTGGCCTGTGGCCTATAGTTTGTGACCCCTCATAGAGGTTGATGGAAGGTAACCATGTAAAGAAACCAGGAGACAAAGGAAGCTTTTGCAGTAGTCAGCTATTGCTTTCTTGTCATATATCCTTGGACTAGTATCAATGTATTTAAGGTTTTTACCCATCTGTGGTAAAATAAATAAAGTTAGGAATCTCAGTTTTTCATTTTAAAATGTTGGCCTTTTTTGGTGTTATGCCTTTTTCATTTGTTTTGTTTAAGTTCTTTTTTAAAGTAAGAAATAACATTAATAGTTGGCAGATTTTTTTTTAAATAAAAGTCATTTGGTAAATGTTTATGTTCCCAGTGGCAGTGAGAATATAAAGCAGAGGCAGAAGAGAGGGATGGTCAATATGATTTAGTGATGATTGAATGAAAAAGGTTTGGGGGATAGAGAGAAAGATGATTCGCAGGTTTCCAGGTTGTACACTAGCATTTAACCTGGACATGAGGAAGGAGCAGGAAATTTTCTGGTGAATACAGAATAGCAAAGAGCAGCAGGTCAGCAGGAATGACTAATTTTTTTCTGTGCATGTTTAATGGCATATTCTTATATTTTGAGTAGGTAATTGGATAATCAGCATTTTTAGCTGGCATCCTACTAGTTTGACTCTCAGTAATAAGAATTGTCAAAGATTCAAGAATCTGAAAGTTGATGATAAATATCCATGTGCATCACCATCAATGACTGAAAGTCAGTCAGCATCCACAGAATTGGGACAGATGAAATTAATGGATAAAGATGTATATTGGAGTTGTGTTTTCCTTAGGGAATGATACTCTCCATGACCTATGTGAGTCACAGCTGCCAGAAAACAAAGAGAGAAAGGAACGTATTAAAGAAGCACAGCAAATTCAGTTCTAGAGTGCCTCTGCTTGACTTCAAGTTATATTCTGACTTCTAAAAAATCATTTTCTGGCAAAATGTGCTTTGTGTTTCCTCCTCTCTTTCTGCCTGCAACCAAACAGAATCCCTTTTAGCAGGGAATTTTTGTGTTCTTCCTCTAACAAAAGCAACAAAAATAACAAAAAGAAGTAAGAGAAAGAGCTTTTTTTGTATAGGCTAGTATTTAAAGTAAACTTGAGAGTGAGTACTAGGATTATATTTAGAATTTAGGGACTAGATGAGAAAACTATATAGAAATCTAAAGATTGCTGACTCAAACACAATGTGGTTTCTTTGCTTTATTTTCACAGCTCTGAATTCACAACTATTAGTTATATTTATATGCACTATTACTTTAGAAAGCACTTTCCCAAACCAAATATTAAGTGATTTCTTGTAGTTTCTATGACTTTATTACAGAATTGACTTTCCAAATGTTCATAACAATTATTGAGAGTTTTCTACATAGTATCATCTCAGCTGTGTCCACATGAGCTATCTATCTCCTTGTGTTAATGAATAATGATTCACTAGGAATATTGGTTTTGGCATTTAAAGTGATTTATATCTAATGCAGATAGAACGAGACTACTCTTGAACATTAATGTCCAAGCATCTTAAAATTACACATAAGGCTTTCATAATCTGACTTCTGCCCCAGCCTCCATCTTTAGCCCTTTTCCCTGTGTGCCCTTTCTCTGGCATTACTGAACTGCTGATAAAGACCTACTCACTCATCCTTCTGTTGTAGGCAAATACACATTCACTCTTGCAGGCCTTACTCCCTATCTTGTTGCTTCCTGGCATACTGTCACCCTTTCCTGCCCTGTACCCCTTTTAATCTGGCTAGCCTCAATATTTAAGTCTCTGCTTGGGCATGATTTCTGGAAAAGCCATCCCTGACATGCTTTATTTTCATTCTTGTTAAACCCTAATGCCTGGCATGTATGTAGCAGGATTCAATGAAAAATTGCTGAGTCAAATAAAGACTGTTTATAAAAGGTGATGTGCAAGACAGTCTTGGAGCAGAGGGGACAGATGTGGAACAATAATGTACAGTTCAGGCGGTAAAGGTGCAGTAGAAAAATCAGTAAAGTACAAAGGGAGCCTCAAAGAAAGAGGTACCTGTTTATCTGGGGAAAGACATGTAGAGTCAAGAAAGACTTCACATAGGATTGTTTTAAATTGTCAGAATAGTGGAGGGAAACATTTTAGATATTAGGAAGACATTGTACACTAATAAAGGTATCAGCAGTGATTTTGGAAATCATTTATAAGGTACTATTAGGAAGTGGAGAACAATATACCATGTTACCTTATATGTTTCTACTATATTTTAAAGTTGCGTTTCTGGTGGTTTTGTTCATTTATGTTTGGTGGATGAATTTGTGAGTGAATGTTTGACGTGTTTGTATATCTTCGATCTGGTGACATGACCAAGTGGTTTGTTGAAGTTTTGGAGAATTATTTCTTAAGTAACTATTTCATGAAAGATTAAGCTTCATTTAAATGCTCCATTTATGAAATAAAATGAAATGTAGTTTTTAATTGTTCTAAGTGATTCGTTTTAACTGAATGTATGGCTTTCTCTTCAGAACAAGACTTAAAGCTGACATCAGAGGAAGAGCCACAAAGGCTTAAAGGAGGTGAAAATAGACAGCATGAGGCATGTAAAATTTTAAATGCATATTTCTGGTTTAATGTTGTTTTCTTTGTTTTAATAATATTAGTCCAAATAAAATTACCTTTCAGACTAGGCTTTGAGAATCAATGGATTCTTTTTTTAAAAGAATATTTTAATAGATTCTTAAAGTTTACTTTAATAAATGTAGCAACCTCATTAATAGAAGAATCAATAGATTCTAATTTAATATTTGCTATTTAACTTAAACATTATAACCTACTATTAAATTTAAGATGTTCTTGTTTAAAATATTCTTACCTGCTTTCTTGACTAGCTTATAGCTAATTTTTCCCTTTGGAATAGAGGCAAAAAAAAAAAAAAAAAATCCAGAACTTTGTTATTTATTTATTTATTTATTTATTTATTCAGTTTGTTTGTTTGTTTGAGACAGAGTCTTGCTCTGTCCCCCAGGCTGGAGTGCAGTGGTGCGATCTCTGCTCACTGCAAGCGCTGCCTCCCGGCTTCATGCCTTTATCTCATCTCAGCCTCCCCAGTAACTGGGACTACAGGCACCCCGCCACCACGCCCGGCTAATTTTTTTGTGTTTTTAGTAGAGACGAGGTTTTACCATGTTAGCCAGGATGATCTCGATCTCCTGACCTCGTGATCCGCCCGCCTCGGCCTCCCAAAGTACTGGGATTACAGGCGTGAGCCACAGCGCCCGGCCTGTTCTTTTATTTTTACAACACCTTAGCATGATAAAGAAAGTAACATTACTGGGTATATACCCAAAGGATTATAAATTATGCTGCTATAAAGACACATGCACACGTATGTTTATTGCAGCACTATTCACAATAGCAAAGTCTTGGAATCAACCCAAATGTCCATCAGTGACAGATTGGATTAAGAAAATGTGGCACATATACACCATGGAATACTATGCAGCCATAAAAAAGGATGAGTTTGTGTCCTTTGTAGGGACATGGATGCAGCTGGAAACCATCATTCTTAGCAAACTATCACAAGAACAGAAAACCAAACACTGCATGTTCTCACTCATAGGTGGGAACTGAACAATGAGATCACTTGGACTCAGGAAGGGGAACATCACACACCGGGGCCTATCATGGGGAGGGGGGAGGGGGGAGGGACTGCATTGGGAGTTATACCTGATGTAAATGACGAGTTGATGGGTGCAGCACAGCAACATGGCACAAGTATACATATGTAACAAACCTGCACGTTATGCACATGTACCCTACAACTTAAAGTATAATAATAATAAATAATAAAAAAAAAAACAACAAAAAAAAAGAAAGTAACATCGACCGGGCGCGGTGGCTCACGCCTGTAATCCCAGCACTTTGGGAGGCCGAGGCGGGCGGATCACGAGGTCAGGAGATCGATACCATGGCTAACATGGTGAAACCCGTCTCTACTAAAAATACAAAAAATTAGCTGGGTGTGGTGGCGGGCGCCTGTAGTCCCAGCTGCTCAGGAGGCTGAGGCAGGAGAATGACGTGAACCCGGGAGGCAGAGCTTGCAGTGAGCCGAGATCCTGCCACTGCATTCCAGCCTGGACCACAGAGTAACATCAATTATTGGATAATATTATTAAGCAATTGAAGTTATGAACAGTGTAACAGTGTTAATATTATTAAGCAATTGAAGTTATGAACAGTGTAACAGTGTTGGTCCCTGAGCTGGATTCATAGTAAAGAAGTAATCATGGCCAGTGATTGAAAATCTGCAGTTTCATATTGCCAATCACTGATGCCAAGGTTAAAGATGCATTCTGCCTTGTGGTCTGTCATTGACCTCGGGGTTTCTGTTCAGGGAGAGAACCAGATCATGAAAGCAACCCAACTGCCTATTACAAGAATCATATTTTGCTTTTGATGTTAGTGTACAAACACAATAACATTTTACTTATTTCAGTTGCAGAAAATCAGTGCATATTATTTAAAAATTTTTACCCATTGTTAGTACACATTAGAATATATTAGAACTGGACTTAAGCAGATAGTCTAGATACATAACACTATCATATTACGGTATATAATTTCAGTTAAAATTTAAGAATTTGCATTTCTTTCTGTTTGATGTTGATTTCAGCTCCTAATAATTTTAAGTGTGCCTACACTCCAGTTAGTAATCTTTTAAAAAAGCACTTAAATGCACTGTAGGGGCTCAGTAGTTAGGGTATGGTGAAGTAAAATCTTTTCAAGTGAGGAAGCCTTTGCAACACTACAAATCATCTGCTAATTCATTTTTGGTAGATTTAACACGTAATGAATTAAGTTTAATCCAAACAAATGGTGACACAGTTAAGTTGGCTGGTTCTTGTTTTTCTTCTCCCTTTGGCTAAGGTGAATTATTTTTCACGTGTTAGTCAGAAGCCAATGATGTGGCAGTAGCTTAACATAGATTAAAAAGTTAATTCTTAATTTTAATTATTATTTATTTTAACAGGTAAATTTTAATTTTAATTATTTTCTAATTTTTCATTGTCCATACTTGATTACTTAAGAGTAAAATTATTTTAAAAGCATGCAGTCCAAAAGTTCAGACATTTGAGAAATACAACAAGCAAATTAACCTTCTATTTTTGCATCTGCAGAAAATGTCTCAAGAACCAGACGTAAATAAGGATTGCGATAGAGAGGTATACTTTTATATTCAAATGTTACTGTTGAATTAGATTTTTACATTATGTTGTTTAACAAACTGTAGTAAGTTTAGGCATGTACAATTATATCATGTAAGTAGCATAAATCATCAGCGAAAAATTTAGCATTTAACTCAGAACGCTAAGTTTTGTACATTGAGTTTTAGAGACAAACCCTAGAGATATTCTTCATCATTATGGAATAATCCTGAATGGTTCCACAAAATGCTAGGTAATGCCACTTTAGGAGCTTTGGATCAATCATTTTATCTTTCTTGGTTTTAGTCTGATTATCAATAGATAATGTGGCTGAAGAAGATAATTTCTTATTTTGTATATCCTCCAGCTAGAAAATTTTATGGCTATTGAATGTGAAATTTGGGGAACATCTCACTTTCTGGAATTCCACACTAGCACCTCAGCAGTTTCACTCTCCTCCTTGTGCTGTGACAAACTTTGGTTCCCATGTTTCAGTGAGCACCTTTATGTTTTTGATATCCCAGGAATCAAATGAAAAAAGAACGATCAAAGGCAGTGGGGGAGAAGAATATCTTAGTGCGGAAAAGGGCAGTCTTCCTTTCTATTCCTGAAGCCCCACAGTGTCTCATCCTCTAAATCTGACTACTTAATGGAAAATCCAGGTGGTAAAGATGGAAGAAGATACATTTTGCATCTTTGTCTTTTTATTTGTGTGTTCCCACAAGTCAGATGGGGTGAATATTTATATTAGATTCTGAAGAGTGGTTGGGAATAAAAGCACAAAATGAAGGAGGGCCCTTTTTGAAATTTTTGAAAACTGTTTAATTCATTCAAACAGAAATGAAGCAAACTTTACAAAAATTTCAATGATATATAATGATATAATTACATATTAAAATTATATGGTAACAGTTCTGTATATATGATTAAATTTAAATGTCAAATATTTTTAATGACTAAAGTAGCAAACTGAGTCAAGTGATAAAATCAATTAAAATAAAAAGGTTCTTTTTATTCAATAAAGCAATAACCATCCTTAATATCAAACTTCCACTCAAGGCTGAAGAAGAAATGCAGAGGCATGGAAGTAATAACGTGGGAATATCAGTAAACCTGACTGATGGTGCTGCTGCTGGCAATGGTGATGATGGATTAATTCCACAAAGAAAGAGCAGAAAACCTGAAAATCAGCAATTTCCTAGCACAGAGAATGAAGAATATCATAGGTATGGTAACATTCAATGGGAAATAACTATGTGCTTTTGAACTAATCCTAATTTGGGCTAATATTAATGATGAACAAAGTTTACACTTTTACTAGGATATTCAGCCTTGTCTGGTAATCAGAAGAATGAAAATCAGCAAACAATGTGTTACCATTTTTTCCAGTCGTTAATTTATTTGAAAAATAACCAGTATTGGCAAATGTGAGGGAAAAAGCATTTTCTTTTCTTTTTAGTGAACTTTAATTTTAGCTTCAAGGGTACATGTGCAGGTTTGTTATATAGGTAAACTGTATCATGAAGATTTGGGCTACAGATTATTTCATCAGCCAGATAATAGGCAAAATACCAGATAGGTAATTTTTTGGTGCTCTCCCTCCTGCCACCCTTCACCCTCAAGTAGGCCCCAGTGTCTTGTTCTCTTCTTTGTGTTCATGAGTTCTTATTGTTTAGTTTCCACTAATGAGTAAGAATATGTGGCATTTGATTTTCTGTTCCTGCGTTAGTTTGCTTAGGATAATGGCCACCAGCTCCATCTGTGTTGCTGTAAAGGAAATGGTCTCACTGAAAAAGACATTCTCACATACTGTTGGTAAATACATTTTGGTGTTAATTTAGTAGCATTTTCACACACACACACATATATAACATAGTAAGGATATATAATATATGTATGTTGAAGATATTTGTATAGATATATATACACACATATATACATATATATTTATATTACATATATACTTATGTATAAGGACATTTATTATAGCATTATTATATCAACAAGCTGGAGTTAGTCTAAGTCCTTATCAATAGGAAATAGCTCAATGTTCATACCCAGAAAATAATACAGAATGCAACCTTTTTTTTTTTTTTTTTTGAGACAGTCTCATTCTGTCGGCCAGGTTGGAATGCAGTGACATGATCTTGGTTCACTGCAACCTCTGCCTCCCAGGCTCAAGCAATTCTCCTGCCTCAGCCTCCCGAGTAGCTGGGATCACAGATGTGTGCCATCATGCCTGGCTAATTTTTGTATTTTTAGTAGAGATGGGGTTTCACCATGTTGGCCAGGCTGGTCTTGAACTCCTGACCTCAGGTAATCCACCCGCCTCGGCCTCTTAAAGTTCTGGGATTACAGGCATGAGCCACCGTGCCCGGCCAGTATGCAACCATTTTTTAAAAAATGAGGTTAGATCCAGAGTGTACTGATTATTTCACAGTAAACATGTATTTAAAACATTTAGTTTGATGAGCCATCTTAAGACAATTTTGTTAGAATTCTTGTAATATCTGCTATGTTGCAAATGGAAGCTACATGCTATGTTGACACTGTAACTTGTTAGCAACAAGATTGCTAGTTATTAAATTTTTGTTGTCAATGCCTGAATGCTGAAATATTGGAACCTCAATCTGAATATTGCTAAGGGATTGCACATGGGGATCTATATTTCATATACACATTTCAGTATATTGGGTAAAACTTGTTAAAATGCATCAAAGGATGTTTGATCTACTAAACCAGGAGTTGGCCAGCTTTTTCTGCAAAGAGCCAGTTAGTAAATATTTTATGTGTTGTGGACTATATATATTTATTTTTTTAAGACAGGGTCTCGCTCTGTTGCCCAGGCTGGAGTACGGTTGCATGATCATGGCTCACTGCACCCTTGACTTTTTGGGCTCTAGTGATCCTCCCACCTCAGCCTCTGTACTAGCTGGGACCACAGGTGTGCAACATCACACCCAGCTAATTTGACTCTATGGACTAGAAAGTGAATAAGCATGACTGTGTTCCAAGGTACTTTACTTACAAAAACAGGCAGTGGGCTGGATTTGGCCCACAAGTGCTAATTTGCTGACTCTTGTGCTAAAAGGAAGGTGCTGCTAATGCAGTGACTTTTATTTGTAAAAGTGCCCTGTATGCCTGACATTATTCTTCCTTTGAAAAAAGAATATATTTCGGTATTCACCTCACCATATTTTTCAATGGTGACTTCATATAATTTTTATATTCATATAATTCATATAATTATACTTCATATAATTTTTAAAATTTAATTTATAAAATAAGATTATTTTCTGCATTTTTCCTATTTTATTTCTGTTAATAGAACTCACTATTTTACTGTGATCAATTACTTTGTATACTTGATGAGTATCAGCTCTTCTAGAATTGGCTGGTTTTTATCAAGCAAGAAATACTCCCCTTAAAACTCTTAGTATTAGTCTTTATTTATAAGCATGAACAAAATGATAATGAGCTTATGTAATCTAGAAATGTTCAAGGGGTCTTTTAGTTCTATAATTTTAAGAATGTAATATCTTGGTCTGGCATTTTAAAATGCCATATTGTATAATTTTTATAACGTTTAAAATGTATAATTGTTATATAAAATTTAAAACTGAACTATTTATATAAAATTTGAAAACTACTGTTTCTTATCTATCACTATTCATGACTGTGGAAGAAAATTACATTATTCAGAGTCATGACTCCTAAGTGTGATGTCCTTAAAAGAACTGTCTACACTCACGAACTCAAATTTTCTTTCCATTCATTGCTGATCTCATGCCAGTAGTCTTCAACTTCAGCACTCCTCCAAAATTGTTTTTCTCAAGATTATCACTAATTTTTTCTGTAACAAATCTAGGCATTTTTTTCTTACACCTCGTTTTATTTAATTTGTCAGCAATATTTGACCCTATGGAGGACCTCTTCTCCGTAACAGTGTCTTCGCTTGGCTTTCAGGACCTCCCTCCCTCAGGCTTTTCATCCTTTTCTTTCTACTCCATTCATTATGGTCTGTTTTGCTTGCTCCTCCTCATCTTTCACCTTTTGCACATTGTTGTCTCCCAGGTCTCAGTCCTAAATCTTATCCCTCCCCTCCCCTCCCCTTCCCT